TAATTTCAAGTGACCAACAACAGTCCCAACCCGGTGAGGTACTCTGAACACTGGAACCATGAACATCTTTTTTCATGTTCTTGTTTTTCAGTAACTCTCACACACAGCCTTGCAATTATCATTAGTGATATTAGAAACTAAACTGATTCACWGCCCAAGTGGTCAAGACACTTGGTATTCACTGAGTCACTCAGTCTGTTCGGGAACCATCAATTAAGGTATAAAGGAAAAGGAAGCAAAGACATGGAGGGAATACGAGCAGGTTCAAAACTGAAGAGAAAATATACAAACTAGAAATAAAGATATAAAACGGGAAAGATAAAATAAGTCATCATATATATAAAGTAGATTTCTTTTTTTCTCCATAGAACGAGCAGCAGGGTCCAAGCAGAAATTTGTAAAGTGTGTTTAGGTTTGGTTCAGTCACAGCTTTTTTCTATTTGTGTTGGATTATCAGTGGACTTAACCTTTCTCCAATCTCCACCTTTTCCATCTTTCAATAAATATCTGTATTCCTCCATCCTCTGTGCTTTTATTGAGATAAACTTTACTCCTACGACAGTTATGCTGAAACAGTGAAAGACAAATWTCAGCCGTGCTGATAAAACTAGTCTCAAATCTTTTATTCCATCTCTTCTTTTGCCTCCTCTATAGATGTCTTTTTCAAGCCGTCAGTCTGTTTACTTCTTTTTTTTTCTTGTTCAGGTTCTTTGCTGTCAATCTTTTCACACGTCCCTTTTTTCTGACCTTGACGGCTTCAAACGGCAAGGCGCACCTGAGGAGAGTGGTTCTCTTTGTTGTAAGATCAAGGTGAATCTTTCATGTGTTGAACCGATACACAGGTGCGCACAGGAAACTCTCCTGAGCACATGGCGTTGCATCACGTCGGTGTCTCTCGGTGGAAAGACGCTACGTCTAAATGGAGTCTTTAAAGGGTCAAGGGGAAAACAGCCTTTGATGATTTTACTCTGATTCTGTCTCAGAAGCATGAATACAAAGTCATAAATAAAAAAACGAACACAGAAAAGACGTTGATGATGGGAGAAGATGTATCGTCTTGTTTCAGAAGTCATTCCACTGCAGGTTACATCATGTTTTCAGTCATTTTATTAGATAAATCGTTTGATCTGATCAGAAGATTTTGGTTAACGAAAACTATTTAATGCATTTTTCTTTGTTTTATAAAACTGTGGTGACACACTGTGCTGCATTTGTTATTAATAATAAGAATTGCTTTCAATTTAATACAYCCCATGAGACCGTGGAGACAATAATATCTTTATTTTTCCGATAAAGCACCAAATGGGTTGTTTTTTTGGAACATATCAGTTTCCAGTATCTTCTCCTTTTTTCTTCTTCCCAAACACAATTTCCTCTTTTCATCTATGCCCTCTAGACAAACAAAGAGGGAATAAAAAGTGATGGAATAATACTAGAGGTAGAAAAAAAACGGTTACCTTTTGTGAGCCTATAATGTCTATATTTCCTCGGGGCTTGGTGTGAAGGCAGGGGGCTGACAATGACTGCGGGAATTTGTGTCAAAAAGTCTTTCTGTGAGTTTGGCGATTGTGTTTCAAGACTTTTGWTGGAGAAGTTCTTTGTCTGTTCTCTTCAGGGGGTAAGCGCTGAGTCAGCATATAAAATGTCGAACAAATGTCACATTTGGGACAACTCACAGTTAAGTCGCTTAAAAAGATAATAAATGAAAATATTGCATAGGTGTAGTAGCAACAGTTTAGAAACAAAGGATTGCAAATGTTTGATTAAAGCAAAAAGTTAGGTTTCCAACTAGCATTTTAATAGTGGAACMGTTGAATTTTTATCAATATATCTTTAATTTAATGTTTGGAACATTTTTTTCTTCGTATTTAATGGAATGTCTTCTTTGTCTCAATGAGTTTTTACCACAATTTTATTAAAAATGTTGCACTTAAATTAAGCTTTTTTTCCACTACAAAATTATGGGATAAACAATAAATTCAAATGGCACAGAACTGAGGTGGGCATATTTGAGTATTGACAAAAAAAAAACATTTCTGAAAAGCTTATACTCATGATTTGTTTCTGAATATATAAGTTAAAGGGGCAATATTATGCGTTTCTCAGGCATATATTTAAATACTATACCATAATAAAGTATCTATGTCACCTTTAGTTGTTATTAAAATGCTGTTTTTATGTTTAAATAGAAAATAAACTTATCTTCTCATCACTTGCTCTTCTAAACACCTTGAAATTGGCCTCTGTCTCTTTAAGAACCACCTTTCGCTTCTGTCCCACCCATTTCAGGGCAGGTGGGGGTGGGGGCTCGCGCTACAATGCAGTTTACTTGGCATCTGAAAATACATTTCCTCAAAGGTATTTTGAATCTGAAAAGAGCTTCACTGAGTGAGAAGTAGTTGAGCTCAGCAAACAGTTAAGTTTCACTTTCAGTTTCACCAGTTGTTTGCTTTGTTACTGCTGAGAGCCTGCAGGAGTTATGGGCGACGTGTGCTGATGAGGAAGCTTGGCTTAAAGACACGTCCCAGGGGCGTTTCTGGTCCCCACCTGTCGTTTTGCTCCTCAGCATGGCTTCCTAAAAACGCTGCAGGATTTCTCAAACATGCATGAATGAGTCAAAGCAAGGCTTTGGGCATGTTTTTTATGAGATTATAACATGTTATAAAACTCAAAAAAGTTGGTTTTACATGATATTGCCCCTGTAAAGTGACAAACATTTTTAAAAGTTTGTAGAGATGGCAGTGTTGTAGTACTTGGTCTTGGTTTTGAGACCACTTTTTGATGGTCTCAGTCTTGTCTCGGTCTCAGACATTGAAGACTGGATTTTATTTCAAGATCAGTCAAGACCTTAACAGTGTTTCCACTGTTATGGGTTTGACTGCTCTTGAAAGAAAATCAAGCAAACTGCTAGGGTATTGTCTTTATTTTGTCATCAACCTTGCTTTCATTGGATGTAAAACGTACAGATTCAAATCCAAGCGCAACTCATTGCTAATTTGCAAATGTATTTGTAAAACAACGTCCAGGAGAAAGCATACAGCAATATGTAAATTCTGTAGTGTTTTGCTTTCAGAGATGGTGGGGACTACAGCAAACTTTTACAATCACAGAAAAGATGCACAAAGAAAGAAAGATGCTATGTGATGCTAGCAAAGCTAACTAGCTAACGTTAGCAATCTGCCGCTAACAAAATTCTTTACCCAACCCTCACACAAACATATTTACTTAATATTAGCTACATAGTATGTTAGCTACCTGTGTACAGTATACTGTTTGTTTTACAGAACTAGTTTCTGTTTATTTTTCTGGTCTTGGTCTCAACTTGGTCCAGCCACTAAAAGTCTMGATTTGGTCTCGACACACTCTGGTCTTGGACTTGACTTGGTCTTGGATTCGGTGGTCTTGACTACAACACTAAGAGATGGTACTGGTTTTGTTTCATGACCCTTTCCTGTGTGTTTTTCTCACCAAACTCCAGTGCCCTGATTGATCCAACACCTTCTGGAATAATAAACCCCCCCATTGTCAGCAAACTTCCACCTGCCTGTTTCCCCATGAAGACTGTGTGGAAACATTTTATTAAACTTGCCACAAATTTCCAGAAAKAAATTTACTCGCAAAAGGTGTTCAGTGTTTCAGTTCACAATTCGACTCAGGAAAATTCCCCACAGCTGTTTTTTTTCCAGAAGTAAGACAACCTTCTCTATGGCTAGATGGTTTTTAATTTGTTCTGTAGCAGACCCAGAACCGAACACAGAGCAGAACATTTGAGGGCTATTAATTTTGAGGGTTGCCTTTTCGGAAACATAAATTCTTTACAACAGACACACATTTATACCCAACATCAATGCACATCCTCTGAGCTAGACATGATGGATGTCCTCCCTTTTCGCTGCTTCTCATCGCAGCATGTGCAACGAAAAAAAGAAAAAAAAGAAAGAAAATATTTCTGACTGATAACGTTTTGCCTTCTGCTTCTTTTTAAACTTCGCCTCTGTTCTTCTCCCCTCAGCCAGTTTTCCACCTTGTCCAAACCTACTCTTGATGGAATCAGACAGACTGACTTTTGCTCCACTTAAAAAATACATCCATATTAGTTKTATTGATTGCTTCACTTCACTGTGACTCTGCAGCCGGCGAGCAGCAAATTATCAATTACTTCTTGAGCTTACTCCACTGCGATTCATACAAAACACCTCAGTTTCTTCAGTCAATCAGTAAATGACCCATTATTGAAATGTCTTTTAAATCTCCAACCCCTACAGTCAGAAGGTACACATTTCATGTGCTAAACTGCAAAATGATCTTTCTGCAGTATTAAAAAGGCAAATTACGAAATCAACCAAAGTGCTCTGCACCTACTGGCTGGACTAAATACTGAGAATATTCTACCATGAACTTTTCCTTGTACCTCGAACACTGTGAGGGCGAAKGGGTGTCCGAGGTGGTGGTGGGAGGAGAGCAGCACTTTGCGGTTGTCTCCGTTCAGATCCACGCTTGACAGCAGGTGCAGCTTGGAGTCCACCCAGTAGAGACGCCTGTTAGACAAATCTGACAAGATGTAGGTGGGGGTTAGATGGAAAAAGAACAAAACCAGGAGGGAGAAGAAGAAAAGAGGAGGAGGAAGAAGGTGAACAGAGAGAGAGAGAGAGAGAGAGAGAGAGAGAAAGGTCATTCAACAAAGAACGGAGCAGGGTGAGGGGTATATGAATGAAATGGCCCAGTAGCTACACCATCAATCTTTTCTGACATGACGGCTGAAGGGCCTGTGCTGAGAAAACACAGATGTGATTGTAATRTTGCTGCTTGACTTGCTTTGCTGGGGGTAATATATTCCCCCCCAAGCAAATTCATTAGTTTTGCTGGACGTCCTTTAGAAGAATGATTTGGTGTTTAACATTTCCATTATTCTCTGAGTAACGGCCCTTTGAACAGTGAGAGGAGGCCTGGAACATTGGTTTTTGATCGCTATTGGCCATAAAGTACTATTGGGGTTAACTTACAAGTTTGTAGACATATATTTTCACAAAGGTCTGGGGAAAAAAAAAAGCTATAATAAAAGCAGGAAGCACATGTTGAAAGGAGTCAGCGAAGGGAGCCACAAAGTGAACAGAAATTACATTAATTCCCTATTATGGAGTARGAAAAAAAATCACAATTTGAATTCRTTTCTTATGACTCAGTCAGTCACTCTATGAAATCAATGACCARGGGAAAATAATCCACCTCTTCTCTCATAAGAGTGTAATGCTGTCTGGGCTCACTCTCATTTGCCTTATTCTAAAAATAATTTGTTTTCATGCACGTACCGCGACATCTCAATTCCACAGAGAGAGGCGAATGTGTGCTTCTATTTCTCCTCAGGCAAGGGCAGTGGAGAGAAATCTGCTGGTGCTGCTGAGGGGGTTGAAAAGGATGAAGGTATGCATTGACAGTATGTAGTGTGTGATATATTCATTTTGAAGCTGGTTTGATGGAGAGCCCTAAAACTCAACTGTAACTGGGTTCATCTCCCAAATCTTACCGCTCGTTTCCTTATTTTGTTTTGTATGAAGTAGGGCTGAAACGATTCCTCGAATCATTCGAGTAATTCAATTACATTGTCGTGGCAAAGTTTATCAAGAATGCAGAAACACGTTGGAATAAATGCACAGAARGTCKGCGTGTATGGTCGTCGAATGATTTAATTCTTGAGCAACAACAAACAGAAAACAATCAAGGAAGTCTGTCGGGTTGTGGCTCACGTCAGCAGACAGCAAGCCAATAATATAACATCATGTTAACACCATGTGACAGTTTACAACCAATGACAATCTGACAAATATTACTGCCTAGCCAATAAACAGGGCTCTCAGCCCAAAGAGTTAACTTATCAAACAAGAGAGGTCAGTCTGTCGCTGGATTCCTGACGTCTGGAACAAACAGATTAAGAGCCGAAATAAGTTATCATAAGATATAAGTACTGGACAGGGTCAAGGTGAAACAGATATAAATAATTAGTCCATGACAATCCCTCCTCTTGAGTAAACAATACTCAAAACCAAATCAAAAATGAATAATTATTACTAAATGTCTGAACACAAATGCAAAAAAACAACATCAGGTACAAGGAAAATAGTGCAATTTATATGACGACCATCAAATRAGGCAAAATACAACAGGAATAAAGCTTAAAGACAAAATAGAACATCATTACACATCAGAAAAWATGGACGAAGATCAAAAACATGTCAAAATTTTAAAAACTTAAAAGTCCAAACTTAGACAAGGTATCACAACACAAGTTCTGCCTCCCAGTGAAATCCTCGAGGCAAATTTTCTGCCTCGAAGCTTCGTAAAAAATACATACTGTTATAATCGGTGCACTTTTGTCCGACCGGAACGTTATTTGTGTTACGCAATGCTACCACGTTAGCGCTTCCGCTAACGGTTACACCGTTGACACGTGTATACTCGCTAAGCACTATGTTTAGCTTTAAAAGAAGACGAAGAGTGCCGAAATGAAGCACTCAGAAAACGACAAATTATAAAAARCATGGGAACATTTAAAACCAAACAGAAAAGACGACAACACTCAATGCACTGCACGTCCTCAGCGCTTCTGCACCGGAACAAAAACAGCTGCTGCATGACCCGAACGTGTCCGGAGTTAACAACAGGTATTTGTTYAYGTTCCTTTGCAAATTACRRTTACCTAAATCTGTGATRATCGGTCATGTTACAGATGTACAAGGAGGAGGTWTATTTAAGCTAATGTTATTTGTGCTGACYAATCATGGTGACCTGGCAGGGTTTTATTAAACAGTGTGGAAGTTGTGTGATTAAAAACAAGACTTACTGTAAGTTTGTCAGATAAAATAAAAGCACAGCAACAGATCGACAGCTTGAGCTGAAACACTTTTATTTGTTGATTTGCTTTTATCTTAATTTAAATGAGATACTTGGAGTGAATATTTCAAGTGTAAAAGTATTTATAGAAGACAGTTGAATTTTTTTTATTATTTGCTGCTGCTTTTATGATTTTAGCCTTCATTAGTAATGTCATATTTGTTTGTAGCTAAGCAGTCAAGACCAAATCTTTTGTTGCCTAAATGGGAACCCTACACCAACCTAATAACAGTCTTAAAAATATGATTTTTTTTTGTTACAATTAACAAGTGAACTCTACAAAACTCAACTGCAAAACCCAAATGTTTATAATTACCCATTTTACTTATTAAATTTCTAACAAAAAAAGTAATAAGAAAAGACATTGTTTTCCAATCCATAAGAATAAATTTACAGCATTTAGATTTTTCTGTGAAGGTTAAAAATGATTCAATGACAGAGTGCTTTTAATTAATGCCTCCTCAGACCTCACACATAAATACAAGTAACTGGAGCTTAAAATGCTTGAATTAATACAACTGGTGTTGTAATTTTACTTTGATTGCAGCAGGGTCATCAGCAAATGTAGATTACCCCTTCACAATATTAAATTATTGTATTTCTCATAAAATAAGCTCAAGTAATTACTGCAGAACATGACAGTTTTTTAAATATCCGATTACTYGATTAATCATCAGAATAATCGATAAATTRATCRATTACTAAAATAATCGTTTAGCTGCAGCCCTAGTTTGAAGCAGTTTTTCTTACCTAGAGTGATTCCATTCGGCCACTCTATATGATCAGACACCAGAACTTGTCTGTCTACTCCATTCATCCCAGCTTTCTCAATTTTGGCCTGATCTCCCCAGTCGGACCAGTACATAAACCTGTGGACAGACACAAATCAAACCAAATCAATGTCAGAAATTTAAAATAAAAAAGCCCCTCCTGGGTGACGGTGTGTGTGCGAAGTCACAGTCAATTTAGGACTGAATCCAATATTCTCTTTTTTATTGTTTTCCCTTCAAAATGACATTGTTTTACGGCTGAAACAGGCCTTAAGGACACYGAATGGAATCTTGGACCATTTTCAAATGTGTCCATGAGAAACATTTGAAAACATGGCTTCATTTGCATGTATTTCATGCTAGCCAAGCTTTGTGGAGCTGTGGAAAGATTCCTTTGGGGAGCTCAAAACTTCAAACAAAGAGAATGAAAAAGAAAGAAAGGAGTCACACGGTTTCTCTGAAGAACTGATAAACTGCTTATGGTGTAGCAGTAAAAACAACATCTCTTTGTTTTGGTCAAATCTTTTAAGACCAACTTCTCAACAAGGTTTTGATATAATGACGTGTTTACACTCAACAAAGAAAGGATGGCCACAGGCTGGTCAGACCAGACGTCTCCTCACACTTTCCCCTTCGAGCTCTGCTTCTGTGCCCGTCTCTTAAGATTCGTCCATCTGTTCTAAAGTAACTGAACTCTAAAAGTTTTCACTCACCCTTGGTGTGGGTCCACTGCGATGGCCCGTGGCTCACTAAGCTCAGTGGCTATTAGCACCTTTTTCTTCCTGCCGTCTCCTGTGGCGACAGAGATGCTCTTGTTGCCCGAGTCRGTCCAGTAGATGTTCTTGTGGACCCAGTCTACAGCCAGCCCCTCCGGGGAGTGGAGCGAGTCGATCAGCGTCACCTGCTGCGATGAGTCACTGGCTTCGTTGATGTACGCACTGTGGGATGGAAGACCAAAACTAACTGAATTATGTCCTTTCTAGTCTCTTAGGTTTTATTTCTTTTTCTTGTACTTTTCCATAGTGTGTGCATCAGAAAACTAACGTAAGAGAGGTATTTGTGCGAAGGGCAACGCAACCTGTCACATCTAGAATTTCTGACTTCTGAGTCAGAAATATAAACTGCAGCAGCCTCTAATGTCATAATTTTGTATCGGGAAGTCAGTGCAACTCGACCGTACTGCTCCTCGCATCAACAGAGAGTGAAACTCTTTCCTTTTATGCTTTTTAGCATTTCCGTGTTGTTTACTGTACATTAGTCAGGCGTACTCGTAGTACCTTATGGCAATTATTAGGCAATATGTTTCAATACTGTTTGTACACTCAAAATGCCATGTAGTGTGCTATTTTACAGTGTTATTGCCACATTTCATCAGAGCAAAAAACAGAAACCCTTTTTTTTTYCCAACGTTCTGACAAGCTGGAAACTGGAACACTTTCAACTCAGAACTACGTCAGTTTTGCTGCAATTGAACATCATACTACCCCAGCCCTGGTTGGGTTTGCATTGTACCACCTTGATGTGAGCAGAGTCAAAGTATTAAACACACACAAACCTCATTTCATTTTATTTGCAAAAGCACAACAAAATTGGACTACACCAACCTCAAAGGAAAAATAGTGGAAGTTGTACCAGACCGTCCAGCAGTACGAYGCTTAAGACGAGAAGGCGGGACAACAGAGAACGGTAAGCTAATGGTAGCTAACATTAAATTGTTATTGTTTGGTAGCTAGCTACTATTGCTGTGTAGTTAAACTTGTGTGAAAATACATGTTACGGTCACTGCAAACAATTCATGTAAAGTTACTCTTGCTCGTGTGATGTAACCCCCCTGTTCAATGAACCAATCAATGAGCAACAGTAGCTGACGTCAAATCGGGTCGTGTAGCCCGGCTTAGATAGAAACTAGGTTTTTGGGGTTCCAGAAATTAGGGCGGAACGGGGCGTTAAGGGCTAATACAAACATGTTGAACATGAGTTTGAAGTTGGGCTGACCCAGGCAGGGCCTTGCAGTGCAAAGAGATTTTAAGATGGCCTCAGGTATCAATGAAAGCCATTCACAGCTAATACTCCCAGCACAAACAGGTCATGGGAGATCACATGAGATATCCCACAAAGGGCTAATTTCATAGTTTGACTAAAATGTCTACAATTCTGCTATTTCTTATCACAAGATAATCTTGGTCCTACCGTATTTATTCGTGTATAATACGATCTCATGTATAATACGACCCCCCCTTTTTTGAACTTAAAAAGCATAAAAAATTGAATCCTCAAACTATCTCCAATTTCATACAGACTTCAAGATTTTTCAGCCTTTGCAGTYTTTATACATATCAGTAAAATGATCATTGGTCTGTTCATTTTATTTTAACAACATATGTACTAAAAGGTATTTTGACAACAAAAATATATCAGCTGTAGCATCATCATTTGAATTCTGGCGTTTTACACATAGTCCACCAGGAGGCGCCAACACAAAAGTCAGAGACTTCACATGAGATTTGGGCCATCTTGTGGAGGAAAAGCAGATTACTTCCTACTCGCAAGCACCCACTCTGGTGGGGAAACATTTTTCARGGATACTAACCTTTTCAGAACACCGGTAGATGGCAGCCATTAGAGACGAACATGTGTTTGTTGTTGTTCGAGGAGCGGCTCGGTCACACRTTAATGTCATTAGTTCGCTATCATTACTAAGGAGCAGGACTACTTTTCCCCCCTTTTTTTCACATCATGTCACCTGCCTGGATCTGTTATTATCTTGCTCTGAAGCACGGAGGAGTGTCAGAGGTAAGCTCGCTTCAACTGCTTTTCACGACGCGGTCTCATTTCCAGACTCAGGCATTTTGTGAATGAAGCCGATATTTCAGTTAAAATACATAAGTAAAAATATTTATCCGAGTATAGTACTACCCCCCACCCCCTCCAACTTTATGGATGATTTTATGGATTTAATTTTACATATTATACTTGAATAAATATGGTAAACTCTGGAGTGAAGAGTGATTTGGATTCCTTCAAGCCTAAAAGTGTCATAGTTTTTTATTTTTCTTTTCTAGTTCAGTTTTCTTACTTCCCCTTCTATTCTCTCACTACACACATGCAAAGATATAGCAAATTATTTTCACTTTCTGTTAAATCCATCCATCCATCCATCCATCCATCCATCCATCCATCCATCCATCCATCCATCCATYTATTTCATGGGTGAGGGTACACCATGGACAAGTCCATCACAAGGCTACATGCAGACAACCATTCACTCTCTTACACACACCTCAGGACAAATTAAAGTTTCCTGACAAATCTGTCTCATTAAAGGGTAGGGRAAAGCTCACATACAAAGGGAAAAGGTTTTTGAACGGGAGGAGTACCTTAACCACAGCTGAAGGCTGCTGAGATAATTGGAGCGAAGGATCAGGAGGAGATGGATGACAGCAGGACCTGCGAGCAGATTGTGTTGCTAATTGACTGTGTTACTTTTTGCCACCATAGATATTCTTGGCATCCCTGTTTTTGTAGACTGTTGACCGTAATGCTCGGGGGTGCCACTGAGTCAGGACGACAGATAATCTGGATTCACTCTCTTCTTTTGTGCCTCAGGATGTAAAACATGAATGCCACAACCGGCTCTCCTTCAGAGAGCAAACTGAAGTGAGGGCTGGAGCTAAGTAGATGTGGTTTAAATCCCTCATGTTATTGATGCAGCGGTGGTGTATTTAGTACCTGAATTTAATCTCAAATAGCCATGGCACTGAAAATATATGTTACATGAGTTCTGTCAGAAACATACATCTCACCAGGTCTTTGYTCTGTTTTTTAATAAGAATATTAGAAAGCTCACTGTTGCTTTTATTCACCTTTGTAGTTCAAGGTTTTCAACTGTACTGCAGGGAACAGATTGGAAGCAAAACCCAAGGCTACAGGCTGCAGAGGAGAATCAGAAGGAAACAAATGAGTCCAAGACCACAGAACAGATTGCATCGGTAATTGGCTAAACAACTGTTTGCAACAGACATCTGTATCATGGTGAGAAGTTAACAAGACATTGACCCAAGACATGTTTGTCATTATAAATATGCCAGGAAACCCTCACCATCAATGGGAACCAGTTCACACTTAAAAATGCTTAAAGGAACAATGTGTAGGATTTTGTCAATTCTTTTAGCCGAAATTGAGATAATCACTAATGACAATAATAAAAAACATGTCTAATAATTGCAGACAAATACCTTGTTTTATTATTTTTTACCTTATAAAAAGCTATTTATATATCTCCATGGTCGCGGGTCGCCACACAGGCAGCCGCCATCTTGCACCGCCATCTTGTCTACGAAGGCTCATGAAGGACAAACTGCGGTGGCGGCATCAAAATCGGTTTTAGTTGTAATACTATAAATGTAATATTTGTTGTCTGTCATTGTAGCTGGGATAATTTTACTTATTAAAGCTCATAATCTTACCACTTGAAACATCACTAGCCCTGAAKCTGCTGGTAGACATCGCGGTTGGAATTATCAAAGGTTTTTGACACCTGAGAGACACCGTAGCAACTGCTTTGCATTTGGAAGCAGGGGGTGGGGGTGGGGGGACCAGGGAGGATGATTCGACCACTCAACCACTAGATGTMGSTGAAAACAACAAATCCTACACACTGTGCCTTTAATTATTTGTTGAATTGCACCTTATTAGAAAAAAAATTCAAGAAAGAAAAAAAATAAATCTTAAGAATACATGTTAACAGTTTTTATTAGAGTTGTTGCATCTTGGAGGTTTTATTTTCAAGCAAGGCAACTGAAGTAGCAGATTACAGTTTGAAACTGTCCTGTCATTTATCTACCACTGCCTCCATATTACCTGTAGTATTACCCACAATGTGGTGTGAATGCTGCTTCACTAGTTCCTAGGCAGCTTTTTGATTTCCTGATTTAATGTACTGATGCAGGCATTTTTACWGTTGCATGTTTGAGATCAAATAATTAATTTAATCTAAGGTGCAGCTAAAAGAAGGTTTAAAGCAAACATCCAAACTTGGAATATACAGTATGTAGTAAATCAGGGAATCACAAACTTTGTTGCATAGTTTAGATAATGCTGTTTGGTATAATTTGATTAGGTAGGACTGAACTTCCCTCTAGGAAGCCTGAAGAACAAATGCTGTCCTACAAAAAACACATCTCCTCTCTTCAAAATRTCTAAAGACATTTGCTTTGAATGAGTCTTGGACAGTTATTCAGTCAAGTATTTAAGTGTCTAATTAAAGTAACTGTTGCTATTACCCCCAAGCCAAAATTCTCCAATTACAAAGATTACAAAGAGAGAAGGGCTAGTTAGATTGCTCTCATTTTACTTTTTATAACAGTGAAACAGCCACAACACTGAACCAAATTTTATGGCCTTAATTTAGATTTAAAGGGCACATATCAGGCTTTTAAATTCTTCATTTTCACATTTAAATAATTCAATTAGGGTCTATTTAAAGTGGAACTGCAATGCTTTGGTCTGAATTTCTCCYTATTGTAACTCCACAAGCCCCCTTTCACCCCTTTCCTAAGTCATGTGGCCACGCCCATTAAAAATTCCAATGGAATCCTGTTATTTTTGTCAGAGGACAATATTGTGTGAAGTTTGGGGAGTTTTTGAKTATGTATATTAAGGCCTCCAAATAAACGTGTTTCAACGCAAAATGAATAATATGAAGTGTGTCTAAGATTAACTCGGTTTGAGGCTGTCTCTTTAAATCCAAATGAGGTGCTTCACATCCTACCCCCACATCCAGGTTRCAGGCTGGTTCATTCCAATTTGATAGAAAGGTTTACAACTATATAGCTGTGCAGAAACTTTTAATTTACAAATGAATTAAAAGACATCAAGAAGGGAAGACTTGTTCATCCAGCCTCACATGTTAGAGCCAGAGTCTGACCCAGAACCAGAGGAGAATCAAGACAATGAAATTGTAACTGGTACATCCAAATCTTTTTTGGCAATTCTGTCGCAAATACTGTGATGCAATGGTTCAGAAAACATCATAGAAAATACCGACGACTGAGCAGGTTGAAAAATATGAACCATAAAGAATATAACGATATCTACGCAGCAGCAGGAGAAACTAAATTAAACTTTTCTGCACTCCTAGAGACTCAAAATTAAAAAAAAAAAAACAGCATGATTGTGATTCTCTTCTAAATACTACAGACTAGGTAAAAATGTTCCAAATACTAACAACGTTTAGAAAGGACAACAGGGAAGACAAAGCAAGCTAAAACAAGGGCAAGTCGAATGCACAACTTCATTAATTGCAAATCATTTAGAGAAACTACGCACGCATACATTTTGTTTACGGCTTTGAAAATAGAGTTCCTCATGAAGGATGAGTTCATTTGTCCTTCCTCTGTCACGAGCCCTTGAGTGTATCACTGAGTTTTATGAGGGTGAGTGTGTATGCGTGGCCATGTGTGTATGYAGATGAGTAATGATGGCGATTATTGAGGCAGTGAAATTAAAGGGAACATATGGCTCAGCTGAGATGATAGAAGGCCCCTCCATCTACCTGCCAGCCAACACAAACACACACACACACTGCGACGTGAAAAACAACAATATACTTGATGTTTGTGTAACTGTGTGTATGTGTGAAGGACAAACAGCTCCACCCTTTCCCACCAAACAGATGCCACAGCCCTACAGGTGTGTCTGCTTCACTACCAGAAGGTGGGACAGGYTGAAGCCGACAAGATGAATAGACAGAAGATGACAATGCCAACAGATCTGATGGAGAGCATGGGGAGGGARTTTAAGGTCTTGGCTTGTGTCATCCTTGGTCTTTTTTTAATTTCTTMATCTTCTACTCACACTGCCTGCATGCTAAAAAGATTCACGCATCTAATCCAAGTCCTAAAACTATACCCCGTGTTGCAAACTTACAAACTGTGTCACAATATTCATCAAGTATTCAAACTTATTTTTTACAACAACAAATTTAGTTACTTCTTCTGGTGGTTTCAGAGACTTTTGAAGATCTTGCCATGAAAGTATGTATAATTCTTAGGGTGTATTCACATATGGTCCACTTTAAACAGACCAGAGCTC